TTATGATCGGCTCTTGGGGCTATTCGAATTTTTAGGACTTAAGCAATTTCACTAGTCAGACTCGTTCAGACATTAGGCTCTTGGGCCCTTCGCCTATTTTGTGATCGGCTCTTGGGGCCGTTCAGCTTTTTAGGACTTGAGTAGTTTCACTGGTCAAGCCCATTCGGGTGTTAGGCTCTCAGGGCCTTTGCTTATGTTGCGATCGGCTCCTAAGGCTATTCGGCTTTTTAGGACTTGAGCAATTTCATTTGCCAAGCCCGTTCGGGCGTTAGGCTCTTGGGGCCTTCGCCTATTTTTCTATTGGCTCTTGGGGTTGTTCAGCTTTTTAGGACTTGAGCAGTTTCAGTGGTCAAGCCTATTTGGGCATTAGGCTCTTGGGGCCTTTGCCTATATTGCGATTGGCTCTTGGAATAGTTTTGCTTTTTAGGACTTGAGCAGTTTCACTGGTTAAGCCCGTTTGGGTGTCAGGCTCTTGGGGTCTTCGCCTATTTTGGGATCGGCTTTTGGGGCCATTCGGCTTTTTAGGACTTAAGCAGTTTCACTGGTCAAGCCCATTTGGGCATCAGGCTCTTGGGGCCTTCGCCTATTTTGCGATCAGCTCTTGGGGCCATTCGGCTTTTTAGGACTTGAGTAATTTCAGTGATCAAGCCCGTTCGGGCGTTAGGCTTTTGGGGGCTTCGCCTATTTTGTGATCGGCTCTTGGGGCCATTCAGCTTTTTAGGACTAGAGCAGTTTTATTGGTCAAGCCCGTTCGGGCGTTAGGCTCTTGGGGCCTTCGCCTATTTGTAGGTCTGTCTTGAGTGTTTCGATACGGGTCGACCCCTTTTTAGTGGGCCTTTTTGGCCAAAACGGGTGCCGGACCTTCTTCATAAGGGCGTTCTTTTTGCTGATGTTAAAATCAAACGATTTTGTTTTATAGAAAACCCATTTTCTGTTTAAAGTGAGCTAGCGATTTGAAAAGAAGCAATCTATCCCAAAAAGAAAGCGGGGAAGGCTCTAAATTATGAACCCTTTGATAATGAGTTGTGACTATCTATGGGTCTCATAATTTAGGGCCCTCACCCGCTAATTGTATACCAAGTAGGTCATATTTTAATAATAAAGGATTCTTTTCCTTTTTTATCGATGTGGGACCTTAATTTCTAGAAACAGGAAAACATCTTTTCATTTGAAAAAATATATGGAGTGTATGGAGACCTATGACAATGGGGCACTTTAATGTCGTAAATGGGATCCCATTGTCAATTGGTCCCACACATTGATAGGGATATAAGTGAGGATCCTTATAAGAAAAGGATTATATTCTACTTTTTGAACGATGTAGGACATCATCTTTTGTGGGTGAGGAGGTTTTACTTTTTCATGAAAAATATTTTTTAAAAAAAAATAAAAAGTGTGAAATGGAGACCCCTGATGGTGGGTCCCTTTATGGGTCACCTACCATCAGGGGGCCCACTCCACTGTTTTGATTTGGTGTTTATTTTATTTTAAGTAGCAACTAAAAGTTTTGTTCATATCTGATGTGGGTCTTTCGAAAAAGACAAGCAACAGCTTTATTGGTTCTGAAGAAAAGTACTAGAAAGCATTATATAATTACTTTATTGAAAGTACCTTTTCAAATTCATTGCATTCCTTGATTTAGCTATTTCTGTGCCATCCAGGTGCTGGAGTCTGTAAGCTCATTTTCCAATTATGTCTGAGATTCAGTATGGGCCTTCCCAGTTGGGTTCCAGTTTGCCGACATACTTTTCTGATTTCAGGAGTACCAATCTCCGGGATTAAAGCTTTATCTTCTGACTTTTTTTATTGTAGCTACTTGCTATCCTTTGCTAGTAGGCTACTAGTCGAAGGGCAGTTGCTTCTTTTTTCTCCTCCAAGAGATCCAAATTGTGTTCCAGAAGTTGATTATTTGATCTTTATTCCCAAGTCAAGCTTCGGATAGTGGGCACCATCACTTCGGTGGGTATCACGGCTTCAGTTCCGTAAGATAAAGAGAATGGAGTATCACCAGTGGGGCTTGTTGAAGTGGTTCTGTATACCCATAGGACATTTGGCAATTCATCTAACCATTTTCCTTTCTTATCTTCGAGCTTCTTTTTTATGCAGGCGAAGATTATTCTGTTAGTTATTTTTGCCTGTCCATTGCCTTGTGGATGATACACAGCCAAGACTTTTTTATTGATCCTATATTTATTGAAGAATTGCTGAGTGCTTCAATTATCTAGGTTTGGTCTGTTGTCCATAATGATGGACCTTGGGACTCCGAATCTACATATCAGATTGTTCCAAATGAATTTTTTTTACTTGGATGTTAGTTACGCTCGCGTATGCTTCTACTTCCACCTATTTAGTGAAGTAGCCAGTAGCCAATAAGACATACTTCTTTTGTAAGGCGACCATTGGTAGAGGTCCTACTACGTCCATTCCCCATTGAGCGAATAGACATGGGCTATTCATGGTGTGTATCTCTTCTGGGGGCTGACGGATAATAGGGGCATACCTTTGGCATTTGTCACATCTTCGAGAATATTCCTCTGCTTCCCTCGCCATGTAGGGCTAGAAGTAGCCTTGAGTTAGGGCTTTGTGAGCTAATAACCTTCTTCCAGAGTGGTTCCCATATTTGCCTTTGTATAGTTTCTTTAACACTTCCCTAGACTCCATAGGGGTTAGGAATTTGAGGTAAGGTCCAGAATTCGACCTTCTAAAGAGTTGTCCTACTATTAATGAATATTTGATAGCTTTCAGTCTTAACTGTCGGGCTGCTTCTTTAGACTCAGGGAGTTTCCCTCTTGCAAGGTATGCCTGTATGGGATCTACCAACTTGGTTCCCATGGTATAACGAACACCTGTTCCTCTCTTGCAATGATTGGTGTATCTAGGACATCAACGGGGACAAATCGAGTTAATGATTCATCCGCCATGGATGCTGCACTGGCCAGTTGATCGGCTATTAGGTTTTCTTGCCTCGGGATTTGTTAAAACTTAACTAAGTTAAAGTATTTTGCTAGCTTTGCAACTTCTTCCAGGTATGCACGCATTCTTTCTTCTTTGGGGGCATATTCTTCTATCACCTGCTTGATGATGAGCTGTGAGTCGCTATAAACCCTGAGGTGTCTTACCTGGAGTTCCTTGGCCAGTCTAAGCCCTGCTAGCAGTGCCTCATACCCTGTTTCATTGTTCGTGGTTGGGAACTTTAGTTGGATTGACTATTGGAGCTTGGTCCCCTCGGGAGTTCTTACTTTCAGACCTGCCCCAGCTCCGTTTTGGCTGAAGGAACCATCAACATACAATTCCCAGCACGGGTTTTCTATGATTTGCTGCTCCTCTTTTGGATCAGTATCCAAAAAGAAATCTGTAACTACTTGCCCCTTCTTCGCGGTACGTGGTTTGTATCGAATGTCGAAGGAACTTAGCTCGATTGCCCATTTGGTGATTCGTCCTGACAGATCTGGTTTACTGAGGATTGCTCTGATTGGATGCGTCATAGGGACTATTATCTGATGAGCCTTGAAGTAATGCCGAAGCTTTCTTTTGGCCTGGACTAAAGTAAAGATAATTTTTTCTACCATCGAGTACTTTCTTTCTGTGTCAGTCATGACCCTACTCGAGTAGAAGACCGGGTGCTACTTTTTTCCCACATCTCTTATTAGAGCCGAACTGGTCGCTGACTGAGATACTGCTAGATGAAGATACAATGGTTCTTCAGGACTTGGGGTGGATAAAATTGGGGGGTTTATCATGTATTCTTTGAGCCTTATGAGAGCATCTCGTTGCTCCGTCCCCCAAATTTCTCCTTTTCTTGTTTTTATTACATCAAAGAATGGTTTACATTTGTTTGACAATCTAGATATGAAACGACTAAGGGCTACTACCCTACCGGTGAGGACTTAAACTTCCTTTATAGTTCGAGGCTTCTTGCTCTGTAGTAGCTTTGCCAGTTGGGTAAGACTTGCCTTTATTCCCCTCTTGTTCACTAGGTGACCGAGGAACTGACCCGAGGATATCCCGAATGAGCATTTTACTGCATTTAACATCCTTTTATTACTTCTAAGGGTATCAAACACATCTTACAAATGTTGCCAATAATCTTTCTTGGTCTTGCTTTTGACAACCATATCGTCTATGTAAGCTTCAACCATTTGGCCGATCTATTTTTCGAACACCTTGTTGATTAGCCGTTGATAAGTGGCTCCCGCGTTTTTTAACCCGAAAGGCATGACCTTATAGTAGTAGGTCCCTCATTCGCTAATAAAAGAAGTCTTCTCTTCATCTGAATTGTTCATCGGGATCTGGTTGTAACCTGAATAAGCATCAAGAAAAGTTAATTTTTCATACTCGGTCGTAGCGTCCACCATTTGATCGATTTTGGGAAGTGGGAAGCTATCCTTTGGGCAAGCTTTGTTTAGGTTGGTGAAATCGATACATACCCTCCATTTGCCATTCTTGTTTTGGATAACCACTACATTTGATAGCCATTTGGGATACTAGACTTCTCTGATGAACCCCGCTTCTAAAATCCGGTTAACCTCCTCAGCAATGATTTTGTTTCTTTCGGGGGTGAATTTACTCTATTTCTGCTTCACTGGGTGATAGTTCGGGTCCACGTTTAGGTTATGACAGGCTATCCGAGGGTTAATTTCTGGCATATCCTAGTGATTCTAAACAAAGATGTCGGCATTTTGTCTCAAAAGCTTTATCAGCTCCTTCTTCTCCTAGGCTGGCTGGAGTGCCCTTATGTAAGTTAACTTGTGCTCATCCCTTGAGACTATCTGCACAGCCTCTAGGGATTCTTCAGTTGGGCACTCCTCTTCTGGCTCCCCCCTTCCCTTAGGAGAGGAAGAGCCCTGTAGTTGCTATTTCAGCATTTGTTTGCCCTTATTGTTTAGGCAAATCGTTGTGTGATAACATTCCTTTGCTGTTACTTGATCCCCCCAAATATCGATAACTTCTTTATCGTTCGGACTAACGCACCTCATGACTTGATGTAGAGTTGATGGGACTCATTCCATGCGGTGGATCCATCCTCGGCCCATTAACAAATTATATGTTGGATGAATATTCACCACCACAAAATTCTCCTTCAAGGATCTTTTGGCTGCAGTGACTGATAGTGTGATTACACCTATGGGCTCTACTCTTCTGCTGTTAAACCCTACCAGAGGGTTCCTGGTTGGACAAATTTGATCTGTGGCTAGTTTCAATTGGTTGAAAGTCCACCTTGTTATAATGTTTGCACTATTGCCTGGGTCGATTAGTACTCGTCTGACCAAGCAGTTGGCTATTAGCAAGCTGATCACTAATGGGTCTTCATGTGGTTGTTGTACCCTTCTAATATCTTCCTCTTCAAAAGAAACCTGTGTTGGTCTAGGTCTGTAGCCTATAGCATTGATCTCGCCAATCTTTCGCAACTTATGGGCCTGTTTGAGCTGGATCCTGTAAAAATTCTCTGGTTGCTCGTCCTCCTTTGGATGGCCATGAATCATATTGATTACTCAGACATGATGATTTTTTATTGCAGCCTTTGGAGTTGACTGGGTTTGCTCATGCTGCCTCTGCTGTCCCGGGTCAATTAAATAGTCTGCCAATTCACCTTTGGCTATTAATGCCTCCACTTGCCTTCTCAAGCTCCTGCAATCATTGGTTAAATGACCAAAATCACTATAAAACGTACAGTGTTTACTTTAGTCTCTCTACTCCATTGGTTGTCTAATTGGAGGTGGGATTTGGAAGATGTTTCTCGCTTTAGTCTCTTAATACAGTTTGGCTAACATTACTCTGAGTGGTGTGACCTTTTCAGTCGTTCGAGATTTTTTCTCGAGGGTTCTTCCTTTGATGCTCGGAGGTTCACAATGGAGTCTTAACGTGCTCAGTTGTTCTTTGGGTCTGCTCTCCATAGTGACCAGAGTTGCCCTTTGCTGCCTGGTTACCTTGTTTTCTTCGAGCCTGATATAGTTTTGTACTCGCGAAATCAGCTCGAACATCTTAGTCAGAGTTTTCTTTACTATAGAGGAATAAAAACATAAGCCTTACACCATGGCTATCTTGAACGCTTCTATGGCCGTATTTTGGTTACAATTTGGGATGTCGTAGGACTCCATATTGAACCGAGTGAGGAAGGCTTGCAAGTTCTCCCCCTTCATCTATCGGATTGTGAAAAGACTGGCGATGGTTTTTTTCTGTTTCTTGTTTCCATAGTACTGGGCTAGAAATGCCACACACAATGATTTGATTTTGGAATTGACTTGCATGGGTGGTTTTTGAACCACTCTAGGGCCACCCCTGTCAGACTGGATGGGAATATTTTGCACATGAAAGGATTATTGTGTGCCTCCAGTGTCATTTCCTGAGTGTAATGGTTTAGATGCTGGAGAGGATCTCCAATTCCATTGAATTTAATGAACTTTGGCATCACGAATTTCCTGGGCCTCACGACTTGTTCTATGTCATGGGTAAAGGGAGTCTTCACTATTGATGCAGTGAATTCCCTTACCATGTCCTCGGGTGTTTGGGCTTTTAGCCCTTTGATTTGCTCGTCTATTTCCTTTCAGAGCCTTGCGATAAAATCACTTCCTGAGGAGGGTTGATTAGTCGCTGGGATCCAAACTTCTTTCCTACCTGAATCAGTATCGTCCGATTGGTGTACCCTAGCAGTTCGGGGTCCTCATATGCTTGAATTTCCAATGATGCGGGATTGACTCGCTATATCGTTGGCGTCATCTAACATTTCATTGAGTTGTTGCCGCGGGACCCTCTGTTGGAGAGGAGGGTTATTGACCCCGTTCGGGTGGTAAGTTGATCAGACCCCGAAGTCTTTCATTTTCCTCACGCATGGTATTGATTTGTGCTATGTTGGCTTCTTGAGCTCATCTTAGTGCGTTGATCTATTCTGCACTGGCTTCATTGGCTTGTCGAAGGACGTCAAGTTATACCTGCATCTCTTCACGTATTTTCTGCATGGTCTCTAGTTGTTGCGGCTGTGCGATGTCTGATCCTGTTAACACTCTGGATTTGAGCCGATTATAAGTAGTAGAAAAATAGATTTTTGTATTGGATTTCCACAGACGGTGCCAAAGTGTAGGTGAAAATTTTTACACCCGAACAATTAAAAAAAATAGTAAGCTAAAAATCAAAGACTTGGAATAGATGTAAATGAATCAGACAACAGAAGAAGTATTTTCAATGGAATTTGATGCCTCCTTATTCTCATTCAGGCTTTATTTATAAGCTTTTCTCAGAGATTTACATGGAACCATTTCTTGGCTTTTATTCCCAAACGTGGATAATTATGCCTACTGATCGTGTGTGCATCATTATGGAAAACGTTATGGAATTTTGGGCTTTGTTGAAACTGGGCTTTCTATTCAGCTTTTATGTTAAGTGGAACTTTTTCCATTTAATTAGGCCAAACTGGTGCCTATTCATGGCTTCTTCTGTTGGGCTTCCAAATGACAATGGGCTTCTAGTTGTCTTAATTTGGTTATGGGCTACTTTTTTGCTACCACGTGGTGTGTTGTGATTGGTGGGGTTTATTCCCTTCACACGCTGCCTTTCCAACTTTCCAGTTCACTTGGAAGGGAAGGTACCAGCCACATTATGTGGCCGGTTGAATGACTGTGGCTTTCTAATCTTCATAGATGGAAAGATGATACTCTTTCAAGTATACCCCATTCATAGGATGCTTATGGAATCGTCCATCTATATCCATCAATCTATAAGCCACTTTTCCAAGGACTCATTCCACCAAGTAAGGACCCTTCCAATTAGGTTTCCATTTTCCATATTCCAAACTTTTAACCAGGTGGAAATTTGACTTGCCATACCAAGTCTCCTTCAACAAACGTCTTTACCTTAACCTTCTTGTTATATGCCCGCATGACTTTCTTCTTTTGAGTAATAATATGGTCTAGGGCATTGAGACGGACTTCATCAAGGTCTTTTAGTTCTGCCAACATGGAATGATTGTAATCTGCTGGAGTTAGCTTATTTTGGAAGCCACCCTTGTAGACCTAATGGTCATTTCCATTGGAAGAACGACATCATATCCATATGTAAGCATATATGGTGTGACACCCGTACTTGATCTTTTTGAATTCCTGCAAGCCCAAAGAGCCTCAGAAAGTAGGTGATGCCACTTCTTTGGATGATTCTCAATCATCTTTTCAAGGATGTTGAGAATTACTTTGTTAAAAGCTTCTGCCTGTCCATTTACTTGGGTAAAACATGGAGTAAAACTGATCACTTGAACGCCACATTCAGCACAATAGTCAATAACCTCACTTCCAATAAAGGAAAGACTTCTATCTGTGGTAAGATTCTCTGGAATTCTAAACCTATGTATAATGTGTTTCTTGATAAAATTAATCACTGTTGACTGCTCACAGGTCTTTAATGGAATGGCCTCCACCCACTTTGTAAAATAATCCGTTGTAACTACGATATAAGTATGACCATTTGCAGATGGTGGCCTTAACTTTCCAATAAAGTCCAAAGCCCATCCTCTAAATGGCTATATTGTCACTATTGGCTGCATGTTTATAGCTGGAACTCTTTGGACTGGGTCATGTTCTTGACATGCAGTACAAGTTTTTGCAAACTCTATGCAATCTTTCAAAATGTCTTTCCAATAATAACCGTACCTTCTAAGATGCCACCTCGTCTTGATTCCAGCTTGATGTGCTCCATATATTCTAAGGTGTGATTCTGCCGTCACTCTCATGGACTCATTCTTACCAAGGCATCTTAATAAAAGTCCATCTTTTTTACTCTTTTTATAGAGATCTCCATCAATCAAAATATAGTGAGGTGCTAAAAGTTGAACTCTCTTGTCCACATTTGCGCTTGGATCCTGCAATAAATGAATAATTGGTGTTCTCCAATCGTCCAAGTCTAATCCATCTATATCAATATTGAAAATCTCCCATGTCTTCTTGGCAGGTTTAATTCTTTCTGGCTCGTCAGCCTGGAAATGACTTGCCATCTCATGTCGTGACTCTATAGAAGGGAGAGTCTTTCTTCTGATTATGATCAAGGTCTCTTCTACACCCAGTGGGACTTTCACTCAAGAGGCTAGTTGTGCTAGATCATCAGCCTCCGTGTTCAAATGTCTTGGCCAATATGTAAGTTGGAAATCATCAAACTGGCAAAGTAATTCCAAGGCCAGAGAATGGAAAGGCCTCAACTGTTAGTTGAGATATCTATACTCTTTAGAGAGTTGGCTAAGTATCAGGTTGGAATCACTAATAATCTGGACCTTATCCACCTTTAGCTCTAGTAGGATTTCCAGCCCAATAATTAGTGCCTCATACTCAACTTGATTGTTTGTACACTTTAAATCTAAGAAGAAAGAAAATGTGGTTTTTCTTCCATTTGGTGAAATAATAACTATTCCAACTCCTCCTCCACCCTGGGTGCTCGATCCATCAAACATGAGAGTCCAAGGTGTATAGTCAAGGTAGAGATTATCCACCTAGTCACATACTTCTGAATCAATCTTGGTGGAAGGATGATCTACCAGAAATTCTGCCACCACCCTTCCTTTAACTGCCTTTTGTGGAATATACTTGAAAGAAAACTCCATTAAAGCCAATCACCACTTTTCAATGCGTCTAGTGATCAAAGGCCTGGAAAACATATACTTCATCAAATTTGTTTAAGAAATTATATACACGGCTACTAGCAACATATAGGTTCTCAACTTCACAGCCGCATAATATAAGGAAAGACACAATTTTTCAATGGAAGTGTACCTACATTCCACTAGGGTGAGCACCCTACTTAGATAATAGATAGCTTGCTCCTTCCCCCATTCATTGGTCTGAGCTAGAAGAGTTCCAATAGATTCATCGGCCACCGATAAGTATAATCTTAAAGGCTGCTTCTTGATTGGAGGCATCATCACTGAAGGGTTGGCCAGGTAGCTTTTCAAACCTTCAAAGGCTTGCTGGTGCTGTTATATCCACTTGAATTCTTTAACACCTTTTAATTTCAGCAATGGGGAGAAAGTATGAGTCTTTCCAGCATGATTGGCAATGAACCTCCTTAAATATCCAACCTGGCCGAGAAATCTTTACAATTCTTTCTTAGTAGCCGGTGGCTTTATTTCAATAATTGCCTTTACTTTATTTTAGTTTATCTTAATACCTCTTTGGTGGACCAGGAAACCTAAGAAGTTTCCAGCTAAAACCCCAGAAGCACACTTCAAGGGATTCATCTTCAACTTGTGTTCCCTCATTCTTTTAAAAGCCATCTTAAAATTCTGGAGATGTTAAACCTTGACCGAGGACTTGATGACTATATCATCAATGTATACTTCTAAAAAATGGCCAATCATGTCATGGAAAATGGCATTCATGGCCCTTTGATATGTTGTTCGGGCATTCTTCAACCTAAATGGCATGATAACCCATTCAAAGGTTCCAACGGACCGTGGACATCTGAAGGCTGTCTTAGCAATATCTTCCACTGCAATATAAATCTGGTTGTA